GAAACTGTGAGACAGTGTTTTTGGTTTTTTTTACTGAAATTTTGGGGTAAATTGTCACGTTGCAATCAATGATTAACAATAACAATCATATGACTTAGAACTACTAATTTAGAAACACTTAGAATAGAGAGAGAAAATAGAATCAATAAGTTGTAGTTTCCATGGTTACACTATTTTCTTGTAGCTTCTTAGATATTCTAATCACACTGATTAGATTATCTATGGCTACTTAAATCAGTTTAGGTTGAGTTTTAATAGTTTTACTCTCAGTGGTCACCTTTAGTCTAACTTCTGAATGCATCTATGGACTGAGAACACATCAATTAAATATTTAATGATTCATTCACATATAAATTCATTTTTTCTGTTGGAGACTCAAAAATGTAACCAAATGGAACATTAATTCCCTTGGTCTTTATTTTGGATTCATGTTCACAAGACAATTATGTGTATATATGTACTGAGACTGAATGTACTCTTGAATGTCAGTTGACAGCATTTGCCTATCTTTTTATTTTTAATTTTTTTGTCTTTTGAGACAGGATCTTTTTTTTTTTTTTTTTTGGTTTTTCTCCGGTACCAGGAACCGAACTCACGACCTTGCGTTTGCCAGGCAGGCGCTTTGCCCCTGAGTTAAATCCCCAGCCCCTTGAGACAGGATCTTGCTATGCAGTTCAGTCTGGCCTTGAGCTCACTTTGTAGCCCAGGCTGGTCTCAAATGCGCAACAATCCTCCTGCCTCAGCCTCCCAAGTGCTGGGATTACATGAACGTGCCATCACGCCCAGCATGCCTGTCTTTTTTTTGTCTTTTTGAGATAGGGTTTCCGCTATGCAGTTCAGGCTGACCTTGAGCTCACTTTGCAGCCCAGGCTGGCCTCGAACTGGCAACAATCCTCCTGCCTCAGCCTCCTTAATGCTGGGATTATAGGCGTGGGCCACCACATCTGACTCATGCCTGTCTTTTTAAAACTTGGAAAAACACTCTACTCTTGATCAACTTGCTAATAGATTTCCTGAAAACTCAGGTCCTCTATTAAATATGGAAAGTTTAGCTTTATACACAATTAGCCTTACATACAATTCCCTTGGTCTTTACTTTGGATTCATTTTCACAAGACAGTTGTGTATTCCTGGGTGTGGTAGCACACATCTAGGATCCTAGCACTGGGGAGACTGAGGCAGGAGGATCACTGTGAGTTTGAGGCCAGCCTGGGCTACACAGTGAGTTCAAAGCCAGCCTGAACTACATAATGAAACCTTGTCTCAAAGCAAGCAAACAAAAAGGAAGACAATTGTATGTTGAATTCATTCTTTTTCAAAAATTTTATTTTTGCAATACTGAAGGTTGAACTCAGTCTTTGCACTAAGTCTACATCCCAGTACCTATTCTGCTTTTTTTTTTTTTTGGTATTGGGGATTGAACCCAAAGCCTTTTTACTAAGCAACATCCCTGGACTTTTTATTTTTAATTTTAGGACATATCTCATTAATATGTTGCATTGCCCAGGCAACTTCTGTCTCAGTCTCTCAGAGTACTAGGATTATAGGTGTATGCCACCACACCCAATTTAAAAAAAAAAATTTTGTTTTTTTTTCAGCACTGGGGATTGAACTCAGGACCTGGTGCTTGCCAGGTAGGTGCTTGTTCCACTGAGCTATATCCCCCGCCCCATAATTTTTTATTTTTTAATTTTTCCTGTGGTGCTACTTTTTTTTTGTTTTGTTTTGTTTTTCTCCGGTACCAGGAACTGAACTCACGACCTTGCGCTTGCCAGGCAGGCGCTTTTGCCGCTGAGCTAAGTCCCCAGCCCCCTACGATTTTATTATAATGGAGTAAAAGTGTGGTCTGGCAAGAAAGAGTAAAGAATGTGATCATGGAATGATAAAAGTGGGAATAAACTTAAAGGCTATCCAGCCTATCTCCTATATTTTGGAGATGAGAAAACTGTGAGTTATAGCCCACAGTGTTAAAGGTTTCTTTTCTTTTCTTTTCTTTTCTTTTTGAGACCAGGTCTTACTATGTAGTTTAGCCTGGCCTTGAACTTACTATGTAACCCAGGCTGGCCTCAAACCCATGGCGATCTCCTGCCTCAGCTTACCCAGTTATGGGGTTACAGGCCTGCGCCACAACATCCAGCTTTAAAGGTTTTTATATTTCTTAAGTAATCACAGTCCCCAAAGTCTATGATTAAAAGTGTGTGAAAAGTGTCTCATTTGGTAACTGAGGCAGTCTTGCGAATATATTTAAACAGTTTCCAAAACTGTGTAAATAAGGGGGAAAAAAGCAAAAAAATCCAAATAAAGATAATACCTGACACATAAAAAGTGCTCAAATAAACATTGCAAATGAACAAAGGAATGAAAAGATTTCGTTGCTTTCATTTTGCAAGTTCCCTCGTTGTCACTGTTTTTGTTTTTTTGAGACAGGGTCTTGCTATACAGTTCAGGCTGGTCTTGAGCTCACTTTGTAGCCCAGGCTGGTCTTGAACTCACAACAATCCTCCTGCCTCAGCCTCCAGAGTACTGGGATTACAGTCTACTTATAACCTTTAAAATGTTATAAACCTTTTATAACTTTTAAAGCACCTACTGAAATTACAACATTTTTGAACCAGACTCCAAAATGACCATTAACGTTTTAACAGGAGTGGATCCAGGTTTTGAGTAGAGTTAATTAGTTCACTGAGGAAAATAAATATACAGAAATATATTACTGTTGCAAATTTTACAAAATAAGTCTGGTATGGTGGCACACGCCTGTAATCTTAGCACTCAGGAGGCTGAGGCAGGAGGATCACCACAAATTCAAGGACAGCCTGGGCTACATAGTGATTTCAAGGTCAGCCTGAACTACATAGTGAAAGCCTGTCTCAAAAAACAAACAAACAAACAAACAAACAAACACAGACACTTGATGTAGCTTGAATGTTTCTTAAAGGTTTATTAAAAATTTCTGTAATACGTATCACTTTTGATAGTGTTAGAAATACTTTTATTGGACCGGAGATACAGCTCTGTGGTAGGTAGAGCGCTTGGACAGTATGTGCGAGGCCCTAGAGTGGCCCTTCAGTAACACACACACACACACACACACACACACACACACATCAAAACAGCAATAAAAACTTCTATCTAGTTGGACCTGGATTCTAGTTCAACCTTCAGTACAAATTTAATGGCTTCCAAATTATAGGCAAGTCTTTTATTTTTTTTCCCCCTTGTATTAGGGAATTGAACTAAGGCCTTCACATAGAACTATACACCCAGGTCTTTTAAAAAAATTTTATTTTGAGACAAGGTCTCATTAATTTTTCCAGGCTAGGCTCAAACTTGCAATCCTCCTGCCTCAGCTTTCCAGAGTGCTGAGAGTACATATAGGTTGCACTGTGCCTGGCTATAAACAAGTCTTTCAACGTCTTTAGTCCTCAAATTCCTCATCTGTAGAATGTGCTTATTATATAAAAAGAACTTATTTATATTTAAAAAATGAAAATAAAATACTTGGTACAGTTTCCAACATTTAGTAAATACCCAGTATGAACTACTATGCTTATACTGATAGTTAAAACATTAACCTAACATAAATAGGAATCTTCTGTCTCTCCATCATAACCTCCCTCACTCACTGTAGGTAGAATACTGTGCAAAATGAATTTCAGAGTCTTTTTTTTTGCACCGGGAATCGAACTCAGGACCTTGCACTTGCCAGGCAGGCACTTAGGCCACTGAGCTATATCCCCGCCCCCTGTAAAATAAATTTCAAAAGAATATGCATATTAAGCTTCATTTTGGTTTGGTTTTTTGAGAAGTCCAGATATTTGGAAGAATTGCTTGAGCCTAAGAGTTCCAGGTGGGGCAACATCTCATAAAATAAAAAATAAAATTTCATTTTGTTTGTTTGGGTTTTTTTTTTTTTGTCTTTTTGAGACAGGGTCTCGCTATGCAGTTCAGGCTGGCCTTGAGCTCACTTTGTAGAGCAGACTGGTCTGGAACTGGCAACGATCCTCCTGCCTCAGCCTCCCGAGTGGTGGGATTACAGGCGTGTGCCACCATGCCCCGCTACATGAATGAACCTTGAAGACGTTAGGCTAAATGAAACAGGCCAGTCACAAAAACACAAATACTATATGATTCCACTTATATAAGGTACCTTAAAAAGTCAAAATTCATAGAGACAGAAAAGGAAAGTGAAGGCATGGGGAGGATGGAAAAGGGAGTTATTATTTAATGGATGTGAAGTTTCTGTTTTGCAAGATGAAAAAGTTCTAGAGATGGGTAGTGGTAATGGCTACACAAAAATATAAATATACTTAATGTCTCTGAGCTGTATATTTTAAAAGGTTAAGAAGGTAAATTTTATTGTTTTATCATAACTTAAAAATTTCAATATTACATATATTGAGAAGAGCATTATATGTATATATTGTTTAACAAATTATAAAGCAAATATATGAATGATCACCATCTAGCTCAAGAAATAATATATTAACAGTGTACCCTTGTGTCCCTCATCACAATTCTTTTCTTCCTCCCTGAGTAACCACTACGATGCCTTTAACGTTTTATTTTAAAAATCGCTGTGATGTTACAATGCAGGGTAGGTTAGTCGACACCACAAAACGTATTTCTTTAAACTCCAATATTTTTTGTAAATGCAAACCTTCAAAACTTTAAGTGTTTTTTCTCTCCTTTTTTTTCTCTTAAAACTTCATATTCTCAGACCTATTTTGGGTCCACAGTTGACCTCACCTGCAAGAGTTTAATTTAAAAAAAAAATTTCAGTGTAGATTTTCATTCCTTCCTCTCTCCCTTGCCTCCAACTACAAAGAAACAATGATTTAAACCCTTTGTGCCCTTTTAGAAAATTACACAGATACCCCATTGTGGAACCCTATAATCCCTTCGTGGAAAGGAAGAGATTAGCATATGAATACAAAGCAAAATGAATCCAGAATACAAAACGATCTACTGAATTGTGAAGCTCTTGTATTATTAAAAATGTATTTATTTCCTCTTTTTGTATTGCCCCTTTAGTGGTCCCAGGATAAGAGAATTGAGCTTCCCTTCTGGTTACCCGGAAAAGGATTAAAAAAAAAAAAAAAAAAGGCAACAGATTCTTCTAGGAGGTGCAAAACCAAGAGACGGCTCCTAGCGCCAGCGGAATCTGCTACACTCGACCTGAGCTTGCTTGCGGGCGAGGAGTGTAGAAAGTGCTGTTCGCAGACTGCGTGGTGAAGGAAAAAAGCAACAGAACAGAAAGCCATAGTGCTGACGTTGAAGGCCCGGCCCTGTGAGGTTGCACAGGGTAAGTGGCGTTGGCCAGGAGGCAGTGGCGAAGGGGAAGGAAAGAGGATTTGCGCTGGGGGCGGGGCCTGCGGCACAGCGTGGCTTCTGATTGCTGGAGCATAGCTGCCAATCTCGCAGAATCGCTCGGTTAACCAGTGCGCTGGCGAGACGCGCTCAGATATACTGAGCGAGCCCGAAGAAGCAGTCTCAGATCCTGACGGTGCAGCAGCCCGCAGCCTCAGCAAGGGAGTCCCAGCCGCTTTCAATGGAGGAGAAGCCCGGCCAGCCACAGCCTCAGCACCATCACAACCACCACCATCCGCACCATCACCCTCAGCAGTCGCAGCAGCAGTCGCACCATCACCACCATTATTATTTCTACAACCATACCCACAACCACCACCACCACCATCATCACCAGCAGCCTCACCAATACCTGCAGCATGGAGCCGAGGGCAGCCCCAAGGCCCAGCCAAAGCCGCTGAAACATGAGCAGAAACACGCCCTCCAGCAGCACCAGGAAACGCCGAAGAAGAAAACAGGTCTGGGAGGAGGCCGGGTGGGGGAAGGGGA